ATGTTACAAACCCCCTAGGCGGGCGCGGTGCTCTCTCTCTCATATCTTATCCTAGCACTAAGGATAGGCCCTAAGATTTGTAACTCTCAACTCTTGTCAAATCAACGATGCGAATCTTTGTAGTCCATAATGTCAAACAAGAAATTCATTAGGAATTTTCTACATTTGAGGGTGCTATCAATCAAGAATTTGAATTTATTCATTTTTTACTTTAGAAATTCATTGTTGATTTACAACTTAAATTGCAGGCTTTGTTGTTGTAATAAACTAAGTTGTTTGTTCTAACATTGTTAGGTTGTGTTGTTTCCTAAACTTTAAATTTTCAATTTAATCTCAGGAAGCTAGTTATTATAAATTTTTATTATTTTATTTTTGAATTTATTTAGATCATAAATGTCTATTCGAAATATGAATCTGACCATGAAAAACATTGAAAAATAGACAAGTTAATGACATATAAAAGATTAGATTCTGACAAACAAAAAATGACAATTCAATTGAAAGCACTGACTAATTACATATAGTATTGTTGGCAATATTTATAACTGTTTTTTTCTTTTGAAGATATTCGAAGTATGAGTCTGGCCATGAAAAACATTAAAAAAAAATAGACAAGTGAGTGACATATAAAATATTAGATTATGACAAACAAAAAAGGACAATTCAATTGAAAGCACTAACTAATTACATATAGTATTGTTGGCAATATTGATAACTGTTTTTTTTCTTTTAAAGATGTTTGTTAAAACTTGGATATAGAAATTTAACTAATAATTTTGCATCTAAAAAAAGTAAAAAAAAACAATCTGAATACTTGAATTGAATTTTTTTTATTATATGAAATACTTACAGGGCCTCAATAAAAAAATTTGCCTAGCGCCCCCGATTGTGTCGGGCCGCCCCAGCCTAGCTTATCTCTTAATGAGGGAAAAACCCAAGTTGCAGAAAAAATAGAGTTAAGTTTTCAGAATTTCATACCAGAATCAATACATACAGGGTTGCTGATAGTATATGGAGTAATTGCATTTGCAGGCAAAACTCACTCATACCTCGTTCTTCATGGCTTCGAAGACATGTACTTGTTGACCTCTACTCTTGAGCGACACATATATCAATTGCTCATTTTGATATAGTACCGCATAACAAGTTGTATAAAAGGGTTAATTCTCACCTTTGTACTCAAGATTTTATTTCTACATTAATTTCAAGAAAAACAGTAAATCAATCCAAAAAAATAAAAATTAATCACACTAGTAACCATACCTTCTATTACCATCGATTAGAATGCAGACATAGTACTGTTTGTACGTCTAATTCTCCAGCATATGCTCAGCTCGAAATCTATAGTATTTGCAATGCAAAACCAAATGAATGAACGATAGGAATTGGTAGACCAAAGGGTCCACCACACATGAAGGATTTGGTATCACTATCACCAAATATTAATTGATAATATTAGACATCGTCACCTCCTCCTAATTGCTATAAGTGAAGTTCCAATCATTAGGGCAACGTAATCTTCTTCAATAAAATTGGTATTTGTACTCGATACCTATACACAGATGGAAACTAATTTAAAGCACAAAGAATCCTATTCATGTTAAAGCTAAATCTTGCATCCTTCCATCTGTGGAATCGTCTTGACATAACAAAGTCTTTTTTGCATTTGTTCCTAGATGTCAATGTGTCCCATTTATATCCTATATAGAAGGTAATGAAAAATTCTTAGATCAAATCTTGATCTTAAAAGACAAAAGCGCATGATTAATCAAACCTACTAACATGCCCAAGCAACATTGTTGCTCAAGGCACTGTCTTGTAGTTACTGAAGTTCTTGTATAAAATCTCCTATCAAGCTAGAAAAACGATTCAACATTTGCATAACTTAGAATCAAAAACAAGCTAGCTAAGAAAAACTTCGACAAAGTAACGCATGCTTTGCCTCAGGGATCAACATGTTATCTAGCTGAAAATTATCTTTCATCGAAGGATGAAGAAACTTCATTTGGAGAGTCCATTTCAACTTGTGGAAGGAAGTCTTCAACAATGGATTTGTCTTCCATGGGGGATTTATTTGTAGACACAACTCCTCAGATACAATACTTTGTAGCTGTTAAATTTTTTGTCATTGCTATTGATCATGATATATACAGCTTACTTTATAGTTTATGTGAACACCATCAATTTTCGGTATGTTCCAGGAGAAATGAGAAAGCCAGACTCCCCCCATCCCAAAAAAAAAAAGTAAGAAAGATCATATGAATACTAAACTCATAATATCTCCATCACATACATAGGCTATAATTTCACCATTTGACTTTTTGGGTTGAAAAGAAGTCAATTCCTTCTTTTTCAGCCTCTTTCTTCATGCTTTCTTTATATCTGGTTGTGTGAACCACAAAATTAAAATTTTACAATCTTTTTTTCTACCTTATAAATAAACAACATAGATCATATCACCAACATCTAGTCAAGTGGCCGTGGATTAACTTCTGTTTCAAGTTAAAGTTTAATTGATCCTAATATGTGGTCTACTCTCATAAAGTTGATGATATTCTGAAGATAGGTGGTATTAGATTGGTCATTCTTTAGGCTATTTTCTTGTGAGTCATTTTTTGAGTTTCTTTTAGATGATTCTTTAGGCTATTTTTAGGTCATTCTTTAGGCTATTTTCTTGTGAGTCATTCTTTGTTTCCTCTATTCTATCCATCATTGAGAATTTGGAAGGGGACAGTGCCTTTAAAAGTGCAAGTTTGTGCATGGATAATTTCTTATGATAAGATTAGTATTAATGAGGTTCTTCAAAAGAGGAGACCTAATTATTGTCTTCAACCGCAATGGTGTGTAATATATAGAGGCGATAATGAGTGTGTGGTTCATTTACTTTTGCATTGTCCTTGGGCACAAGCATTATAGAATAAGCTTTTTGACCTTATGGGCGTTGCTTGGGTTGCTCTAAGGAATATGAATTCTATATTTTGTTTGGATGATGTGGGGTGTGGGGGAAATACAAAATGGAAGACCATTTGGCACAATGCTTTCTTTGCTACATTATGGGTAATTTGGAAGGAACGAAATATGAGGATTATTGAAGATACATGTGAAGATTTTGAGGGTCTCTCGGAAAGACTATTTTTTGGCCTCTTATTGGACTTCATTGTCCAACAAGATATTCCTTTTTTTCTGTATTAGAACAAGCTGGAAAGCATCTTGTGGCTTGTAGTTTTGATTGCTCTTTTTCCTTTTTTAAGGTTCTCATTGGCCAATCTTGTGTTGGACCTCTTGTCCATACTTGATGTGGTTTTTTGTAATGTTTCCCTTTATTATTAATAAAGTGTTGTTTCCCATCAAAAATAAAGTTGATGAAAAAAAAAATCTAGGTTTTTCGTTCATAGGAATCTACTGATCTTAAATTTCCCTGGATCCAAAGCCTCACAAAAATCACAGAATTAAATCAGAAAGACATAATAGGTATTTGTTAAAGTATTACTTAACAAAAAGAAATAAAACAAGGAAAAGTAAACCTCAACCACTACATGCAGAAGATAAGAATAGTCTAAAGACCCCAAAAAAAAAAAGCAAATCTATTAATTTGATATTGAAATTTCAAGATCAGACTAANATACATAGGCTATAATTTCACCATTTGACTTTTTGGGTTGAAAAGAAGTCAATTCCTTCTTTTTCAGCCTCTTTCTTCATGCTTTCTTTATATCTGGTTGTGTGAACCACAAAATTAAAATTTTACAATCTTTTTTTCTACCTTATAAATAAACAACATAGATCATATCACCAACATCTAGTCAAGTGGCCGTGGATTAACTTCTGTTTCAAGTTAAAGTTTAATTGATCCTAATATGTGGTCTACTCTCATAAAGTTGATGATATTCTGAAGATAGGTGGTATTAGATTGGTCATTCTTTAGGCTATTTTCTTGTGAGTCATTTTTTGAGTTTCTTTTAGATGATTCTTTAGGCTATTTTTAGGTCATTCTTTAGGCTATTTTCTTGTGAGTCATTCTTTGTTTCCTCTATTCTATCCATCATTGAGAATTTGGAAGGGGACAGTGCCTTTAAAAGTGCAAGTTTGTGCATGGATAATTTCTTATGATAAGATTAGTATTAATGAGGTTCTTCAAAAGAGGAGACCTAATTATTGTCTTCAACCGCAATGGTGTGTAATATATAGAGGCGATAATGAGTGTGTGGTTCATTTACTTTTGCATTGTCCTTGGGCACAAGCATTATAGAATAAGCTTTTTGACCTTATGGGCGTTGCTTGGGTTGCTCTAAGGAATATGAATTCTATATTTTGTTTGGATGATGTGGGGTGTGGGGGAAATACAAAATGGAAGACCATTTGGCACAATGCTTTCTTTGCTACATTATGGGTAATTTGGAAGGAACGAAATATGAGGATTATTGAAGATACATGTGAAGATTTTGAGGGTCTCTCGGAAAGACTATTTTTTGGCCTCTTATTGGACTTCATTGTCCAACAAGATATTCCTTTTTTTCTGTATTAGAACAAGCTGGAAAGCATCTTGTGGCTTGTAGTTTTGATTGCTCTTTTTCCTTTTTTAAGGTTCTCATTGGCCAATCTTGTGTTGGACCTCTTGTCCATACTTGATGTGGTTTTTTGTAATGTTTCCCTTTATTATTAATAAAGTGTTGTTTCCCATCAAAAATAAAGTTGATGAAAAAAAAAATCTAGGTTTTTCGTTCATAGGAATCTACTGATCTTAAATTTCCCTGGATCCAAAGCCTCACAAAAATCACAGAATTAAATCAGAAAGACATAATAGGTATTTGTTAAAGTATTACTTAACAAAAAGAAATAAAACAAGGAAAAGTAAACCTCAACCACTACATGCAGAAGATAAGAATAGTCTAAAGACCCCAAAAAAAAAAAGCAAATCTATTAATTTGATATTGAAATTTCAAGATCAGACTAAAGACTATTGAATTTACCTTGTCAATGTGACTGTGACTAGCACTTTTGCCACTATACAGTCCATCACCCATCCTTCTGGTAATTCATATGTTTTGCTGGGACCATCTTTTGTGTCCTGTTCTTGGTTGCTTTCAATTTTGGGTGTACCGTTTGGTGGTTGGCCACAACACTTTATAGGGTTGAATTGCTGACTTGAAGCTTCTAGTTCTGCATGCACTCGATCTTCTTACTCTGAGGCAGGCCTCAGAGCTTCATCTGTGAGGCTATGGAGACTTTGCGATGCTACTTCTAATGGATTTGAGTCCTCAAGCATTAGAAGAATCTCAACAGCATTGTAATCCTCATTTGAAATTGGATCCGAAGGTTGAGCTTGATAATCTTCTGGGCCAGGCTTCATGGCATTCAGTATAAGGTTTATTTCGGGCGGCGGCAGACTTTCTCCAGCGCCATGCACATGGTTGGAAAACTCTGGCTCAACAACTAGAGTTTATGAGAGGTCATTTTGAAGGCAATTTTAGAAAATGACTTCAATTAGTGGTATTATGTTGTATGATGTGTCGTCAAACTAGAGTTTTTAATTTAACAATTTAGAGAAACTATTTCTTGTTTTTGATTTGCATAATACTAACAATTTAATTTACTAAATAATTATTAGCTCTTCGATATTCACTAATATTTAACTTTTATTTCAAGCTCAAATTTAATTGATCTTGATCTGTGGCCTACTCATAAATTTGATGAAGAAAAAAAAAATCTAAATTCCCCTGGATCCAAAGCTTCATAGAAATTAGAGAACTAAATCAGAAACACAACACAAGTATTTCTTAACGTATTACTTCATAAAATGAAATAAAACAAGGAAAAGTAAATCTCAACCACAGCATGCAGAAGATAGAACAATCTAAAGACTTAAAAAAACTAAATCTAGTATTTTGAGATTGAAATTTCAAGATCAAACTAAAGACGATCGAATTCACCTTGTCAACATGACCAACACTCTTGCCACCTCGACAAGTTCTACACTCCTTCACCCATCCTTCTGGTAAATCATTTTGTGTGCTAGGACCATCTTCTCTGTCCCGTTCTTGATTGCTTTCAGGTTTGGGTGTAACCTTTGGTGGTCGGCCACGTCGCTTTCAAGGGTTCTGACGTGGATCTTCTAGTTCTGCCTGCAATCCATCTTCTTGCTCTCTGGCTAGCCTCAGAGCTTCATATGTGAGGCTATGGAGACTTTTCGTTGCAGCTTCTAATGGGTTTGAGTCCTCAAGCATCAGAAGAATCTCAGCAGCATTGTAATCCTCATTTGAAATTGGATACAAAGGCTGAGCTTGATGATCTTCGGGGCCAGAGTCCATTTCTCAAGCGCCAAGCACATGGTTGGGAAGCTCTGGCTCAACAATTAGAGTTTATGAGAGGTCATTTTGAAGGCAATTCTAGAAAATAACTTCAATTAGTGGTATTATGTTGTGTGATGTGTCATCAAACTAGAGTTTTTAATTAGACAATTTAGAGAAACTATTTCTTGTTCTTGACTTGCATAATACCAACAAATTAATTTACTAAATAATTATTAGTTGTTCAATATTCACTACTTATACATATATATTTATATATGTGTGTGCGTGTGTAAATGTGCATTTTAGTACATATCATCAGTCATTATTCGTCAATTAATTGCAATGACCATGGTAGCACAATTTCTTCAATGGCCAACTAAGCTTTGCTTTTCACAGTTTTGCAATTTTTTTGGGCACCCACTTAACTCTGTTTCATCTTTTCATAAGTACAAAACTTTCATTTGTACAAAACGAAGGGAAAATTGTGCAAGACTGTAAGACTGCATCACTGAGGTATCTTTCTTGATTAGAATAAACTTACGATTTGAAGAACAATGCAGGTACCTCATTAAAAAAAAATTACTGGTATCAGGGCTATAACTAAATGACTACAAAAAAGTGATTCCTGACAATTAAATTCATTGCATGCAGAAGATTAGGCACTGCAAAAACCTAGAAAAATTACTGTCTAGTGATTTGAGATTGTAATTTCATGAAATGGCTAAAGATAGAATTACCTGGCTGACATGACCAGCAGCTCTTCTGCTTTGAGGAGATCCACTGCCCTACACATCGAAGATCGAACAAATAAAAAAACCCATGTTTAAATAGTAGTGGTAATCTTTTGCTAGCTTTCTATACAGAATTAATGCAAAATAAAATAATTCCTAGGAAGAATTAAGTCATTATTGAGAATTTTTGAAAAATCCCTATCAAAATGAAAACATATGTGAGAGAAATTTGTAAACCCACAGCATAAACTACATAATTGGAAATCTTAGTTCGGTGCACGCATGGACAGCCATCAAAGATTCAAAACAAGATCCACTAATTCACATTTCATAGCCTTTATCTCTAACCTTGCAAGATGGGTCCCCATCTTATAATGAAATGCTATGAACAACGACCTCGTCCTCCACCTCTTGAAAATTCCCATCAATTGTGAACATGCTATGACCAGAAGACTATAAGTGGAATAGGGAACAAAACGAAAGAGAAAATAAAAGGCAAAGGACAATTGGATTCTCCACATTTTCTTTTTACCAAGTTTTCCTACTGCATAACCTATAAGCAAATAGGGTATATATAGGGATAGTGAGGTTTATTTAATTCAATACTTTTGTATCTGAACATTTATTGCTAGATTACGCATAAGATTTGATGAATCTTTTATGGATTTACCTCATAAATTCGCATTTTTTAATATCTCTGCCGAGATTTCTTTTATAAATGCTTTAAAAAATTACCTTCATATCGCTTCCTTATTTAATGTGCACTACTATTTAACAAAGTTGTAAATAGGTCCTACTAATTGATGTAGTGTAGCCGTGTGACATGTAGCGTGCAACTAGAGTGCAACAAGCAATTTACCAAACGGCTAGTTTCTTTTTACTCCAATGACTTGTTTCTCCTAATTTCTTAAAAAACGGCTACTATTTAGCTATTATTTCCTAACAAGTGATTTCCAGTTAATGCTTTTACTTTGCTCATAAACGTGCTTTTTTTAACATCTCTGCCGATATTTCTTTTATAATACTTTCAAAAAATTACCTTCATAGCACTTTCTTAATAAACCAAGTTTTTCCTAGTGTATAACTCACTAGCAAATGAACTCTATATAGGGATAGTGAGGTTAACTTAATTAAATACTTTTCTATCTAAACATTTATTACCAGATTAAGTATCAAATTTTTCAAATCTTTTATGGATTTCCACATAAACTCGTCTTTTTAATATCTCAGGCAATCGAGATTTCTTTTATAAATGCTTTGAAAAAATTACCTTCATAGTGCTTCCTTATTTAATGTGCACTACTATTTGACAAAGTTGTAGATAGATCCTACTAATTGATGTAGTCGTGTGGGATGTAACGTGCAACAACCTTTTAATCTAACGTCTAGTTTTTTTTTACTCCAATGGCTTGTTTTTCCTAATTTTTTAAAAATGGCTAGTTTCTCGCTATTGTTTTCCGACAATTGGGTGTCAACTAACGCTTTTAATTTGCTCATAAATGCATGTTTTATAATATCTCTGTCGAGATCTCTTTTACAATGCTTTCAAAAAATTACCTTGGCAGCACTTCCTTAGTAAACCAATTTTTTTCTAATGCATAACTCATTAGCAAATCATGTTTATATAGGTATAGTGAGGTTAACTTAATACATTTCTTTTTTATCTTAACATTTATTTCCAGATTACGCATCAATTTTGTCAAATCTTTCATGGATTCTTATAAAATCGCCTTTTTTACTATCTCTGCCGATTTTTCTTTTACAAATGCTTTAAAAAATTATCTTCATAGCGCTTCCTTATTTAATGTGCAATACTATTTGACAAAGTTATAGATAGGTCCTACTAATTGATGTAGCTGTGTGGCATGTAGCATGCACCTAGCGTGCAACAATCTTTTTATCTAAATGCTAGTTTCTTTTTACTCTAATGGCTTCTTTCTTCTTATTTCCTAAAAACGGCTAGTTTCTAGCTATTATTTCTCAACTATTTGTTTCTAGCTAATGCTTTTACTTTGCTCATAAACAAGTCCTTTTTAATATCTCTGGCGCGATTCTTTTATAAATGCTTTCAAAAAAATTACCTTCGTAGCGCTTCTTTAGTTCATTAAGTTTTTTCAAGTGCATAACTCAATAGCACATCCGGTTTATACTGGGATAATAAAGTTAACTTAATTCAATACTTTTATATCGAAACATTTATTGTCAGATTATGCATTAGATTTGTCGCATCTTTCATAGATTTTCCTCATAAACTCGCCTTTCTTAATCTCTCTGTCGAAATTTTTTTTATAAATACTTTGAAAAAATTACCTTAATAGTACTTTCTTATTTATTGAGCACTACTATTTGGCAAAGTTATAGATAGGTTCTACTAATTGATGTAACTGTGTAGCATGTAGCGTGCAACAACTTTTTTATCTAACTAGTAGTTTCTTTCTGCTCCAGTGGCTTCTTTCTCCTAATTTCTTAAAAACGGTTAGTTTCTAGCTATTATTTCCCTAGAATTGGTTTTCAGCTAACGTTTTTACTTTGCTCGTAATCGTGCCTTTTTTAATATCTCTACAAAGATTCTTTTATAAATGCTTTCAAAAAATTACCTTCGTAGCACTTCTTTAGTTAACCAATTTTTTCCTAGTGCATAACTCACTAGCAAATCAAGTTTATATAGGGATAGTGAGGTTAGCTTAATTCAAAACTTTTGTATCTAACCATTTATTGCTAGATTATGCACCGGATTTGTAGAATCTTTCATGGATATTCCTCATATACTCGTTTTTTTAAATATCTTTGCCGAAATTTCTTTTATAAATGCTTTGAAAAAATTACCTTCATAGCGCTTCCTTATGTATGTGCACTACTATTTGAAAAAGTTGTAGATAGGTCCTACAAATTGATGTAACCGTGTGGCATGTAGCATGCAACTAGCGTGCAATAACCTTTTTATCTAACGGCTAGTTTCTTTCTGCAACTAATGGCTTCTTTCTTCTAATTTCCTAAAAATGGCTAGTTTCTAGCTATTATTTCCCAACAATTGATTGTCAGCTAATACTTTTACTTTGCTCATAAACGTGTCTTTTTAAATATCTCTCCCGAGATTTCTTTTATAATGCTTTCAAAAAATAACCTTCATAGCACTTACTTTGTAAACCAAGTTTTTGCTAATGCATAACTCACTAGCAAATCATGCTTATGTAGGGATAGTGAAGTTAGCTAAATTCAATACTTTGGTATCTAAACATGCATTGTAAGATTACACCTCAAATTTGTCGAATCTTTCATGAATTTTTCTCGTAAACTCGTCTTTTTAAATATCTCTGGCGAGATTTATTTTATAAATTCTTTGAAAAAATTCCCTTCATTGTGCTTCCTTTAATATGGACTACTATTTGATAAAGTTTTAGATAGGTCCTACTAATTGATGTAACCATGCAACTAGCGTGCAATAACCTTTTTATCTAACGTCTAGTTTTTTCCGGCTCCAATGGCTTGTTTCTCCTAATTTCTCAAAAACAGCTAGTTTCTAGTTATTGTTTACCGACAATTGGTTGCCAGCTTTTACTTTACTCTTAAACACGCCTTTTTTAATATCTCTGTAGAGATTTCTTTTATGATACTTTCAAAAAATAACATTCGTAGCACTTCCTTAGTAAACCAAGTTTTTCCCGGTGCATAAGTCCTAGCAAATTAGGTTTATATAGGGATAGTGAGGTTAACTTAATTCTATACTTTTCTATGTAAACATTTGTTGCCAGATCACGCATCAGATTTTTTGAATCTTTCATGAATTTTCCTCATAAACTCGTCTTTTTTAATATCTCTGCCAATATTTTTTTTATAAATGCTTTGAGAAATTACCTTCATAACACTTCCTTATTTAATGTGTACTACTATTTGACAAAGTTGTAGATAGGCCCTACTAATTGATATAGTCGTGCGCATTGTAGCGTGCAACAACCTTTTTATCTAACAGCTAGTTTATTTATACTCTAATAGCTTATTTCTTATAATTTTTAAAAGCGGCTAGTTTCTAGCTATTATTTCCCAATAATTGGTTTATAGCTAACATTTTTACTTTGCTTATCTACGCACCTTTTTAATATCTCTGCCGAAATTCTTTTATAAATACTTTCAAAAAATTACCTTTGTAGCACTTCTTTATTTAACCAAATTTTTTCTAGTATATAACTCAATAGCAAGTCAGGTTTACATAAGGATAGTGAGATTAACTTAATTCAATACTTTTGTATCTATACATTTATTGCCAGATTATGCTTCAGATTTGCCGAA